CGACGCCGGCGAGCGGGTCCGGTGGCGAACGCGCCCTGTAGCGGCGCGCGACCGAGGAACAGGGAGGAGGTGCGGTGCGGGGGGGCTGGGCTGGCTGGGCCGACCAGGCTGGTTGCGGGCCAGGGAGGTAGGGTTGTGAACGCGCGGGTGGTTTAGCTGGGCCAGTCATCCCGGGGTGTGTGTGGGGGGTTTTCCTTTCTCTTTCTTTCTTTTCCTTATTTTCTTTTCTGTTTTATTTCATTTTAAAGTATTTAGTCATTTTCTAAAAATGTGTTTACTTCACCATAAATACCTATGCAATATTTGGCACCCACCGAACATTTTGGTTTTTAACATTTGAAAATTTTGTTGTTTGCCTTTTATTTTAAATTTGGAATCGAATCAATTTCGAACTAGCTCGAGATTAGCAATTGTAACAGTGGTGATGTGGCATCATTAGCGTGGGAATTGCTGTAGCTAATTATCCGGGCGTCACAATTCTCCTCCACTACAAGAAATCTAACGAGTCCTCTCGGTCTTGGTTGCCCTTTCGAAGAGGTTGATCCCTTTCGTTGATGTCTTCATTTCTCTGCTTCAAATCACCATGATCCAGTCGTCATCCTTTCTTCGGTATCTCCATCGTCCTACGAACGCGATCCAGGGGAAAAACTGCGGAAGAACGCATCTCCACAAAGCTGGGCATCTGACGGTGACTCAATGGAAAATACACAAGGCACCCCACGAGTTGTATTTCTGTGAATTCGTTGTGTGCAATATACGATGGTACCAAAGTTTCAAACGGGTAGGCAATCATTCGATGACTAGACAGAAGCTGGAATGGGGGTTTGAACAATGAGAATAACATGGTGTTTGATTCCAAGATGAATAATGGTATAACATTTAGCTCGTGAATCACATACGAAGCCAGGTGCACATGATACATTAGAATCCGGGTTGTAAAGAAGAGTCAGGTTTTGATCCAGTGGACCTGTGGGTTATTGGCCCACCATGTGGGTTGAAAGTAGGAAGGGTGGTTACATCTTGCACAACTCCGACAGGGAGGCATGTCAATGAATAGCTTGTTAGCTATGCTGGGAACAATGTCGGTACCAAGGACGGGGAACGAAGAGAGCAATTTTCCTGCTTGTTGAACGAGGCGAACCAATTGGCAAAGGTATCACCCATCGGTGGTTACCAAAATGTCATCAACAACAGTAACAGGGTCTTACAGACAGAGTGGCACAACAAGGTGCCTACCTAAGCAGGGAATTATCTCTGCTCAGTTAAGTCAGATTCAGGAAGGGTTAAACAAAAGAATGGAAAGGAAAACGTGATTATCAGATTAAACAGAACAATGGAAAGGAAAATTGCGTTTACACACAATTATTAGGAGTATATCCTTCCCATGTACAAGAAGAACATGGCATCAGGGTAGGAGAGCTAGTACCCAACCATTCAGATAAGAGGCAAGTATTAATCAAGATGTTACCCATACAACGGTGTTTGGATAGCTGACCAAGAAACATTTAGCAACGCGCCTCCAATGTTCTTGTTGATGAACGGGGTATCATAGTCATGCTTCGAGGTAGCAATGACATGGTGTTTCAATCAATGGCCGGACTTTGGATACACAAATGATCCATCAGGAGCAACTTATAAAATAAGTCTATTTTCCTCCAGGAAGAACGGTTATCCTTGCAAAAGAAATTATAATGATAGGTCCTCCAGCCAGGGGTGGTAGGCAAGACATCATATTACCGGGTCATCAAAGGACCAACATCATAACTCCTGGAAAGTTGTCCCAACCATCATATCTGACCGAGATTCAGATCCGATTGGTGTCATGATACCTCAGACTCAGGATGTCCGAGAAGAAAAGGTGCAACACGAATCGACGAAATGGCATTGCAAGATTCTCGGGAAATGAACTATGGGAGCGAGTTCCTGAAATAATAGTTCATCATTAAACCAACGAGGGGATGAGGAGGTGGCTGATGGGCTCAGCGACAATTCATCGAAGATCCAAACGGGTGGATTTCCACAATAATGTGAACAAGTAGATGACACTTGTCAATTCAAGGGATATAATGTTGTATGCTCGAGGGAAACATACACCATCAATCATAGTTGAAAGGTGTGCCCGAAATATGACCTTAGGCGGCAAGATCAATGTTAGAGTGACGATTCAATAACCAACAGTCTAAGAACGAATTGTTGATCGTTAACT